CGATGCCGTCTTAAGAGCCCACAGCCACCCTGCATGATTTATGCTGCCTTTATAAAAGCCTGCAGCGTGAATAAAGCATGAAACTTAATGCCTAGCCATCCTCTCCCCACCACCAAGATGAGCAGCTTTAAGCTATTATTTTTATTCCAATTGCAGTCTGGTGATCAGCCCGGAGAAGAAAGGGACCCCCTGCTCCTGCCCGCGCTCTGAGAGCATCTCCAAGCAGGCTTTGAGAGAAGAGAACCCAAGAACCCAGAGGCAAAGCCGCGAAGACTGCAAGCTGAGCCCCAGCTCACAGCACTCACTGCTCAGGTAAAGGATTTGTCCGGTAGCGCAAAAGCAGTAAAAATCTATTTACCGTTTCTGCTTTTCCCTGCAAGAGGGAAGGAGCATTGCTTGTCCGGCTTCAGGCAGCTGCAGTGGTGAACACAAACCCAAAGGGAAGCACTGGGAGAAGGGCGTGTGAAAATGGCCCCATATGCTGTGGCTGGGAGTCCTCCCGACACACCATACAGGCCAAACCTGCCTTGAAAAGCTTTAGGTCTTCCCCCAGGCTGATGGCAAAGACGCCTTGATGACAATGAAGGGAACAATCCCAGTGAGTTTCCATCCCCTCCCCTATGACCTCGCTATAGGGAACTGGGAGGCAGCAGGGAAGCTGAAGGAGATGAAACACTAGCAGCAAGCTCACCATGCAGACACAGGGGAGGCCATTCAATAGAGTACAACACACCCAAATGCTGCTTAAAAGTCACCTGAAAATACAGCTTAACCTGCAAGTGTGGGGACCAGCTTCTAGCACGCAGACCAACGTCTTGAGACAGGAAGATGCAAATGTTTTATTTCTCTTACCGCCCAACCCTACTTTTGATACCAGACAAAATATTCCCTTTCATATTCCTTACCACAAAGGCAAAGCAGCACTGGCTGAAAAAAGCAGCAGTCAGGCAAAACTAAAAGCAAATCCGCCAGGATAAGCCCCTCAAGGAATTTACTTTCTCTAGGATCCTCCCCCCATCAGCAGCCCACGCCATTCCCCAGCACTGAAAACCCTTTTCAACACTGGATAAGAAGGGGCCCCACCAGAAAAGCTGGTAAAACATCCACAAGGCAAAACATCAAGGTATTTCACAGCCCGGGGGGAAGATGGGAAACAGCAATTTCAATGTCATTAAGAGCATTCTGGTAACTTAAAGCACAAGGAATGAACTAAATCCACTAATGATTGTGATTGTCTGACCTCTCTGGAGCTCCAACAGAGGATCCCACAGCAGCTGCCTGGGCTCCTACAAGTCCGTCAAGCCTCTGCTCTGCTTCCCAGGCTAGCTCCCCACGCAGTGCCCAGCCAGGCCCAGGAGCCTTTTCCGTTTTTCAGGGCGCTGAAACAAGCACTGATACACCAGTGGCAGTAACTGTCCCTCTGGCGCAGTGGGGTATTTCTGACAGGCGAACTTTGGGTAAGAAGTTTCTCAAGAGCTCATAAAGCTAAGGAATGAGTCCCCAGAAGAAGCAGGAGGGTCATCTCTAGCAGCACCCTTCCTGATTTGCCCCTTCCTGTGGAAAAGAACGTCACACAAACGCTAAAAGCCAGTGAAAGAAAAACAAACAAGCAAAACCAAAACACAAACCCAAGCCAGGGATACTATGCTATGCTATGCTGCAGTCCTCCTGGGAAAGAAGAAAAACACACAAGACCAGTGTTAATACTTAAGCTTGAAGAATTCCTGCTTGCGATGGGGTCAGCAGAAGAATCCTCTCTGTAACTCAACTACTTGCTTGAACGTCAGTGTAGCCCACGTGCCCAGTGCCCACCGCTGGGCTAGGCACCTCTGAAGACCTAGAGCTGGCTGCTGGATGACGCTAGGCATGAGCACCTTTGATGAGACAGAGCCAGCTTGTCTGTGCTCAGAAAATTAACAGTGCAGTATCCATCCCTCATTATTAAAAACATCTTTTTCCATGTTGAAATGCTACCTCCGAAATCCTCTCGTGAAGCAATCTCACCAGCTGCTCCACCGATAGTAACAGCACAATTCCCGTGTTTGTTCCAGTCATCTGCTTTTCCCAAAGACATTCACAGCTCAACCATCCACGTTGGGGACTTCAGAGAGCTCCTGCAGCCACCGCATCAACAAAGCGTACGTGTCCTACTGACCTTCAGCCAGACCTACCTGCAAGTCATTAATCACTTCTGAAATCCCCATCCATTACCAAGTTCCACAACAGGAACAGTGAGAACATGAGATGTGCAAATAGTTTCGCTGGCAGGTTTCTTCAACTTAAAGCCAGAAGCTTTTGTATTTTAAGCCGTATAGAGGCTTGTCAGAAAATGAAAAAAAAAATGGCAAAGAGCCACAACGGTGTATTTTATAGTCAGTCTTTAATTTTTCGTCTGTGATTACTGCAATAAAGTGCACCTAATTTCACATGAAATGAGATAACATGGCTCTTAATACAGCCAACGTAATATCAAAAGTTAAACCTCAGTGCAAAACGCTTATCTGAAGACAACCAAAGCAGTTAAGACATTTACTGTGCAAACAGTCTTCTCCAATGCATGTAGCTTCTGGCTGGGGGCCAGTAAATGAGTCGGCAAAAACACAACAGCAGCAGGTTTGCTCTTTCCTTTCCAGGAGTCCTGAAGCAGTGCTCAGCTCAGCAGTCCCTCGTAAAGGCTCTGACGCGATGCTTTGGGATCATCTCTGTATGGCCACTGATGAGCTCCAATTCAACCCACGTCTAGACTTAAGCAACTGGGGAATTACTACTCAGCTACAAAACAGACGGAAGAAAAGTCCAGACAAAATAGGAGGGGGAGAGAAGGGGGAAAATGCCAGAACGTACACACAGGCATTAAGCATGAAAACAGAGGGCTGGCTGAGCCAAGAATGATTTCAAGACTCTCTCCATTTATAGTAAGCTAATCAGCTGTGAACCTAAGAATTACGACATGTGCTGTAAGACCAAAATAGGACCTGCGGCCATTTTTTTGTGAAACAGAGCTGAGGCATGCCCATTCTGTCCAGGGACATTTAATTAGAAAAGCATGTCTGGTTTTATTTTTCCATTTTTCTATTAAATAAAAGTAAGTATCAAAGTAGTTATTTCATCTGGAAAAAACCTCAGCAGTTTCAATGTGCTTTGAACTGCAGTACAAAAGCTGTTAGTCTAAAATCCTCCCCTTTCCTTCTCCAAAATATACAGGACAGCAACTTCAAGTTTACACAGTAAGAAAATATATACACGTTACAGACAGTAAACATATTCTGCAGTTTTTTTAAACTTTATACATCATCAGTGAGAAAAAATATAAACAGTAATAAAATTACATACAATATATTCAACAGAGTAAGCGACTGCTACCAGAGGGAAGGCTGATACACCACTAAAGACAGGCAGAGCAAACAACAGCATTGCCATACCTATATAACACCATGGAATTTTTTTTTAGCCTAAAGCAGTTCTATTGCCAAAGATACCCTTTGAGGTAGATTCTTCCAATTCTTAAATAACATGTTGAGATTTTTAAAAAAGGGATTTTCTCCCTGCCTCCCTCCCTCCCCCCTTCCCCAACAATGCCATGAGCGTAACTTTTGTTTGAACAAAGACAAATTGATTATCCTGTGCAGGGCACAGAGACACTGCAGTCTTAGGCTAACTCGCTAACACTTGAAATGAAAGACAAAACATTTAATATGAATTTGCAAATAAAATACCTTCCCTCTAAGACATGTGCCCATTATATAGCAGTTCCCTTATATGTAATATACATACTTAAATTTTAAGTTTGTTTTGTTTTGTTTTTTTGAGTCTTATTTTACATTCTCATCTTGGAAAGTTGTAGAGAATTTATCATACAAGACAAGACAGGATAATCTACAAAAATTAAAAGGAAACAGTATTATAAAATGCACACACTGATGTTACTAAAAATCCCACTTGTTAAGGGAATCCCAGGTGGTGCTTCTACCCAATGCCTTAACTTTCTCTTCATATATACACACATCCTACAGACAAACCACAGTGTAAAATTTAAAAGATGGCATCTGCACAGAGAGCACAAAAGGAGACCCCATCTTCCTTGGATTACTTCACAAACAGCTGCTGGAGCTTTGCGCACATGCGCAACATAGATACGCTTCTTAAAAACCAGCAGAACAAAACTACTGGTGTAATAAGATCTCATTTCTGACTTGGTCTTATAGAAACACTCCCTGTGCAGTCACATTCACCGCATAAATAAATTAATGTCTGAAGAGGAGGAAGTTAAGTTAAAATGAATGCATCGCTGTAATAACAAGCTCCATTTTGTTATTTGATAAAACACAACCGTTGAGCAAACAAGCATCCACTTAACCTGTTTGGGCACAGCCACTCCTAAGCTAACATGAGGGCGGTCACTTGTTCACATGTAACTGCTGTATTGTGGTTTGGGTTTTTTTTAATTGGAGGGTCCTACCAATTCTGCTTTGCAGGTTAACATGTGCAGGCAATCCTGTTATTCTTCAGCCCAGTTCTGAACCACTTCCTCACCTGCTCACTTCGGTGGAGGTCTAATACTGTTTCTGAACTCACGTTCCATGTCCCAGGGCAATCCTTCCCAGCCACCCTAAAACAATGTTTGTAGGTGTGTGCTGGCAAGAAAACTAACACATATGGTTTTCAAATATGTCTTGTGATTAACAATGGGAACGAGAAAACTTCCCTCAGCGTTCAATATAACAAAATGTCTCTAGCTGATTCAGACAGGGCTACAGAAATAGCTGGGGATTTTTCAGTGTACCCAAAAGTACTTCAACTTTTCAGAGTAGCTTATTTGTAATAAAAGCAATGTCAATCAAATTAGATCTTTGTGTTTCTAGAATTTATTTGCCTGAATCAAGCTCAAATTCTAACTCAGATGACTGACTTCTTTTGTTCCGACTAAGGTGAAGCTCCATTCATTCTATATCTTCCTCGGTTTCAGAGTTTTTGTTATTTTCCCTGAACTAGGCAAGATTTCATGAACCTGGCTCCCAGAAGTCATGCAGTTTTCCCTAAAGAGTAAAAACAAAATAGTAAATAAGTCAGAAAACCAATGACAGAAGTAACGAGTAGATTAGGCAAGTTCTTAGCTTGAGATCACCATGATGTGTTGCAAGTCCTTAGAATTTTATTCTGAAACACCTGCCTGTTTCCCCATATGTGAATCCACCCCAAATATCTCTGAAAAAACTCTGAAAGAGCAGCAACATTATCAACTTTCAACAATCGCTAAACAGCTTCTACAGCTGCATTTTACTAATTCCCTTCCTCCTTTGTAACAAAAAAAAGTCACACACACCACAAATTGTCTTTTTGGCACATTGCTCAGAGTGATTAATAGTCTTTACAGACAAATGGTTGATTACACAATTTTTAACTGAAATCAATACTGAGCATATATGTATAATTCAAATTTTATGTAAGTAATACACTTAATTACTGGAAAGCTAAGCTTTTCCAAGACAGGTAGCTTTACATGCCAAGACAGGACTCAAACAGCTGGTCTGATCACAGCACAAAAGAAACCTTAAAACTCTAGACTGGAAGAAGCAGCTCTGAACTCTGAGAATCAGTAGAAATCATCCACCTATTCCACCAAGGCCATCTAGGTATCACGAAGGCAAACATTAATGACAGACTATTCATGACATTATTTACTACTGCATACTTTTACAGAACATGAAAGGCTTTTCCTAATCATTGCATGAAATTCAACACATTAAAGGGGGAGGAGATATCAAGAGCTGTTGAACGTTATGTGGATAGAGCCTCAGACTCAAGTAGTCTCAAAGTCACACACTGCTAGACCACAGCAGGAAGTGCATCACTGCGTTCCTGCCCCAATGTCCTTTTCGAAGCATCTGCTCATAACTATAATCAGAGACAGACCCTGTGACTTGACTCAGCACTAGCATGTCAGTGTATTTCACAAGCCATTTACGAAAACAGCACTTCTTAAGGATAAAGATGAAATCTTGGTTTTATTGAGGCCAGCAAAGTAAGAATTTTTATTAAAATCTATTCTAATACTTCTCAGTATATTCCACAGCCATGTCATTTATGAAGGGAAAAACTCCAAAACCTCATTAAAAGAATATGCTATTTTCAAATGTTAAAAAACGAGCTTAATGCACCCTGCAATACGAAAAGAGAGAAAAATGTTTCATTACAGTACCTGAGTAGGCCGAGTGGTTTGTATCGTGTCTTGCCATTTTCCATATATCCTAGCAACTAAATCTTTTACCTGCAAATTCAGATTGACTACTTTAGTCATTTATGTTAAAAAAGCCAGTATCGTACCCCACTGCCTCCCTCTCCCCAAACCCACAAACCCTGTTCAACCCAACAGCCAATGTCTACTGGGAGGGTATAATTTTCCAGCTGGCCCAAAGAATCACCACCTCAACTCCAACCAGATCCCTGTAATTTAGGTCTCCAAATTCAAAGTCATGTACTCCACATAAACACATTACAGGCACATGACTCCCCATGTTGAGTGTCTGGAATCAGCATGCAAGCCTCCGGCCTCCAAACACCCACCTCATCCTTTGGGTGAGTTCAGTTTGTTACGTAAGTCTGATGGTGCCTAGAAAAGAAGCCTGCAACTGCAGTCGCAAAAGCCAACAATGCAGCAGTATCTGCTTCTGAAATTAATTCCTTATACATAAAACTGTGTTTTTTTCATAACCAATCACAAGCAGGTGCTTAATCCAAGCCATTCAGAACTGAGATTTGCTTCATGTGCTGTTAAAACCCAGCACAGTGGCATCTGCTGAAACTCATTGTACTATTACACAAATGAAGCAAAGTGACAGGGAAAAAAGAGTAGTTTTCCCCTCTTGGTGAAAGGGCAACAGGAACAAAAGTGACCTGAGAGACAAAAATCCAAGGCGAGATTCATTAACTTGCTAAAAGCATCCATGCTCTACTAATCTGGCTGAATAAAAAATAAAGATTTTGAGGGGCAAGGAGGCACACACAGAATCACAGAATGTTAGGGATTGGAAGGGACCTCAACACAACTGCTCATGTTTGATTTATGGAATCATAGAATGGTTTGGGTTGGAAGGGACCTTAAAGACCATCTAGTTCCAACCCCCCTGCCATGGGCAGGGACACCTGCCACTAGATCAGGTTGCTCAAAGCCTCATCCAACCTGGCCTTGAACACTTTCAGGGATGGGACATGCACAACTTCTCTGGGCAACCTGTTCCAGTGCTTTACCACACTCATTGTAAAAAATTTCTTCCTTATATCTAATCTAAATCTCCCCTCTTTCAGTCTAAAGTCATTGCCCCTTGTGCTGTCACTACACGCCCCTGTAAAAAGCCCCTCTCCAGCTTTCTTGTAGGTGCCCTTTAGGTACTGAAGAAGCTGAAGTAGCCAAGGCTTTTCAAAGTTGAGGTCAGTCACTTCATCACTGATGTGATTTGGCTTTCCAGAACAGCATGCAAAGCATGCTATTAGGACTATCATTAATAAACCCCACATCACAAAGCAAATGAAAGGCAATTAGCCAAGCTTAATGTTACATCACATACACTGTCGGCTTAAATTCACGACATTTTTAACTGTAAAACAAGCACACATGCAAGATACGCTAGTTTTTCAGTCCTCTGTATCCTGCCCTGCATGTAGCCTCTGCTCTTAAAAGTAGAGTCAACTACCAGTGACTGCCAGGAAAAGAAATGGAGCAACTCTGAGGGTCTAAAAGTTGAGATGCTTGGCTAAAAGGAAGACAAGCTCACATTTTACAGTTGTGAAGAGTCTTGGTTTTAGCAAAAAAAGTATTTTCAGTGCCTTAAAATGGCCATATATTTATGTACATGCAAAGATAATGATGCTGACAGAGAAACCAGAAAAAAAACAAACCCATGAGGAACCCTTAGAATTTCCAGGGCTGGGATGAGAGAACAATACACATCAAGAACACTAAAAACCACCTCAAAACAAACAAAAAACCCGCAACTTACGTGTCTTACCTTAGTTCGATAAAACAGCCTTGCATCTTCCCTGATATCACATTTTATGTGCTTATCTAAGGTGCCACAAAGCTTCACTAAGTGTTGCTAAATAAAGACAAAAGTGTACAGCTATTTAAATCCTCCATGTCAAAACTAAATGCTTTCTTCAAATATTATTTCAATTTAAAAATTATATGCTCCAGTTTGAATTTTTCTCAGAAATATACAGTAAGGAATGAGGAAAAGAAAGAAAACAAGATCCTCTATCAGTTGCTGGTATGCACCCAGTAAACCAAATCTAAGAGCTTTAAAAAGTAGTCTCAAAGTATAGCAGAGCTGTACATCACAAATTTTGAAGTTCCTACTAGCTAATTTGTAAATCCTTTCTGTCCCCCAAGCAGCAAGCACAGTGCCATTCAGATCTTTTATCAGTAAAAAAAGTTCTGAAGTTAGAATAGCTAAAAACAAACTTTTCAGCAATGATGACTCAGGTCATTTTCTTTTGTAGAAACTGGCTGAGCAGGTAAAATATATTCATTACGCACTGATCTTTTATTTCTCTCTAAATTTCTGATTAGATTCTAAATCTCTTGATAATGGCTCCCAAGATCTTTCACATTCTGTGAACTTCTTCATAAAATTCCTGTTTTCAATCTCTCACTGAAGAGCTGCAAGGAGGCTCTGCAGAACAGATGAGACAGGCTGAAATTCTACTTATGAACATTTGCTGGTGTCTCAAGACCATGACAATTTACCCCATCTAACTGGAAGAGGACCAGAAATGAAACAGTTATACTGATTTTATACAAAGTCTAGCCTGCACAATATTTAGCCACACCCCTCTTGCCACTTGATGGCTAACAGGTCAGTGAATAATAGACTCTTTCTCCACTAAGAAATACAGAGACTTTAAAAAAAACATTTAAAAAAAAAAAATTCTCCACAAATCTTCACAAAGGCAGCTGTAAAAAACAAATCTCAAACGATCATCACAATATAATTATTTTCTTTACCAAATACGATTCTTTCAGATTACACTCTGATTATCTTTTTGTGTTGAGTAGGAAACTGAGACACTTAAGCGGTGAAACGTAGCCTAACATTACTGCTTTGCCTCTCTCAAACAGTTCAGGGCAGATTTCTTAACAGCCAAGAGAGATTCCACAAGGCAGAAGGCATACACAAACACCTTGCAGTAAGCAACTCACAGCAAATGGCCGCAGAAATCTGAATAGGATTACTGAAGGGCTAAGCAGAAGGTATTACTTAACAGATGTTCACATCACGTGGCACAAGGGAACTATCACTACAGAGAAAGGAAAAGATACAGTCCTAGCTCTTGTTTGCTGCATGGCTGCACTCCAGCACAGAAAATTGTGATGTGTTTGAACATATTTTACTGGATATTTTCATTGTGGTTTTCTTCTAGACTGAAAAATTTTAGCCCTGCTTCAAAAGTTCATAGGATCACTAGACTTCTTAGAATTTCTGTGTTGAGTTCATCTCTAGCTACTTTCTGAGAAAGATTAACGAAATAAATGTCTGACGATCCACAGCCTTATGTTTTGAGGTAGTTCCATTTGCAGAAATGCAGAAGAGGTTTCTGCAGTAAGTGCACCGAAAGCTCTTCTGCATTTACTTTGACCCAAAACAAAAGTTTCCCCCAGTGCTATTCTATTATCCACTGGTGATCTTCTATCACATGATAGCTCTTACCAAAATAGACCAAAAGTGCACGATAAATAGTCTTTTACAGTCTAAAGATCTAGCCTCTGAAGTTACTTACCCTTTGATTAGAATTTACAACGTCGAAGAAACTAGCTTCACTGACTAGATGAAGGAGGACGTAGATTAGGTAGTATGCCTGGAGAGAAATCAACAGAGCTTTAGCAGTCAAAGCACAGTCATAACTCTTCACATCTAGATATAGCACTATCTTTACTTTCTGGAATGATTCCTCCAACAGCCAGATCAATGGACAAGTATGTTTACACATTTGCCTAAATAATTTGAAACAGTACATTTGTGTATTAGACACATTTTAAAACAGTATGACACTCTTTTAAGTTACCTAAGTAACCCACAAAACTTTGTGTAGTTTTAATCACTGAAAATTAAATTCAGCAGTTGGCTTTATTTTCTCATTGTCTACATCCAGATCAAAATATTTGCTAAGAGATTCCATGATAGACTCAAATAACCAAACCAATATTCAAATTTTAGATGGATGGATGGAACTACTGCGTCTTTTTAATACTCTTTTATGAGAAAAGATTAATAAAAGATTCATAAATCTGTTTCTGAAGCCTGCAGGTGAAGGTCTGGCTCAGCATCAAACATTTTCCACTGATTACATCAGAAGGGAGGGAAGACGGTCCTTTGATTACGAAAGACAGGACTCGAGACATCCATATGACAGCCACGCAGAAAATCTGACAACTTCCCTGTTTGTAAAACAACCTAATACAGCTTTCTCACATACTACTTCTGTCCTTCTTCCATGACTATAATCAAAATTGAACGGGAATATTTTAAATATATAGATGAACAGCAACAAAATCGTGTACGTACAGTTCCATGTACAGAACTGTTCTCATTTGACAGAAATGAAAAGAAACCTTTCCAAAACTGTAGAAGCAGCATAAAAAAACACAAATGCAAAAAAGCACTATCAGCTATGCACCTCCTGTTCTAGTTCTGTATGAAGGTGGTCTCCATCGGCATTCTGCTGCTCCAGTCCTTCCCTCATCTTCTTTAGTAGATTAGAAGGCTTCATGTACACCAGAAACTGATGCAGAAGAGACATCTATAGATACAAACATTAAAAATTGGACTGGTTTACTGGCAACAGGAAATCGGAAACTGAATGCCATTACAATATTATTTGTACACTAAGACAAGAATATAAAAGAGATTTTTAATTAAAATGGAAGTTTTCATGCTTTGGGTAATTTTTGATTATTCACAAACTAAAGCGTATGTACACTGTCCCAGTAACAGATCAATCCTATGGAAACAAAAGGAAGACTGAAAGAAGTGTAGACTTCTTTATAATGTCCAAAATGAATGTTTAGGCAGATAAACAATACCGCACTTACAAGCTGCAGAACATGCAGGTTACACACATGTGCAAATACACCTCTAACACTAACCTAAACTAAAAATTACTAATTGGTCGTTTTACAAGGCTCTTGAAAATAGGCTTACAGCATTAAAATATAAACCGCAAACAATAATATACATGTTTTCTAAACTTTCAAATGATACCCACGCAACACACATATGCAGTACCTGCTTGTCACTGTCATCGGGTATTTCTATATGCTTTTTATTAAGCAGCTTTGAAATTATCACTAGGCTAAGACGTCTTCTTACTTCTCTGAAAAACAATAAAAAAAAGAGTCTTTCCCAGAGAATTTCTTAAATCCACACTGCTTCTACAAAGTACATGAGGCTATGCATGGCTTCCCAGACATAAACTCGCCTTCAACTATTAAATTGGATTTTTTGCATACAGGTGCTATTAAACTAGTAAAGAGACTAGTAAAATATAAGTACCTTTATCTCATTGCAGCTTTTCTGCTGCACAAGTAAATGCTACTAGATGCTTGCCTCCAAGCCTGAAATTGAGGACCCAATTCATTCTCCTTGCTCAGATACATTATAATTTATTCATTTCAAAGATAACAGAACTCATAACAGATTCAACACTTAAAACCAGACATGAATCACCCACAGAAAACTTAATTTTTGGTCATTCAGACAAGAATTAGAGTAGGTGATGGATGTCGGAATCTGAAGTTGTAAAGTCTTTCTCTACTACAGGGTATCAAGAAGTCCACAGCCCAGAAAACTACACATAAATCATAGAATCATAGAATCGTTAGGGCTGGAAGGGACCTCCAAAGGCCATCTAGTCCAACCCCCCTGCAAGGAACAGGGATATCTCCAACTAGATCAGGTTGCTCAGGGCCTCATCCAACCGGGCCTTGAACGTCTCCAGGGATGGAGCATCCACCACCTCTCTGGGCAACCTGTTCCAGTGTTCTACAACTCTCATGGTAAAAAATTTTTTCCTAATATCCAACCTGAATCTACCTCCCTCTATTTTAAAACCATTACCCCTTGTCCTATCACAACAGGCCCTCCTGAACAGCCTCTCCCCATCTTTCTTGTAGGCCCCCTTGAGGTACTGGAAGACCGCTATAAGGTCACCCCGGAGCCTCCTCTTCTCCAGGCTGAACAGCCCCAACTCTTTCAGCCTGTCCTCATAGGAAAGGTGCTCCAGCCCTCTTGTCATCTTTGTGGCCCTCCTCTGGACCCTCTCCAACTGGTCCACGTCCTTCTTATGTTGGGGACTCCAGAACTGGACGCAATACTCCAAGTGAGGTCTCACGAGGGCAGAGTAGAGGGGGAGAATCACCTCCCTCGACCTGCTGGCCACGCTCCTCTTGATGCAGCCCAGGACGCGGTTGGCCTTCTGGGCCGCAAAATGTAAAATAACCCTTTTACACAGCCAAGATTATCAAGAAGCCATATATACCCAATAAGAATTGCACGTACATCTGTAACATACGAGAAAACCAAAGGGGTTTTTTTTAAGCGCAATGTAATACCTATTGCATTTATCAGACTTTGAGCCTATACAAACAAAGCAGTTGTTAATGATACAAATAAATCAGCTGTTAATGATACTACGTATTCCTGATGTTACAGTGTCATTACCGTCCACGTATTATCCAGCTAGGCACCAGCTGAACCAGCCACAGGAGATTATGGTGATGACTGGTGAGTTCACTCATTGCCAGGCAGAGCTCAGGCATCTATAAAAGGACCAAACCGACAAAAATCCTGATACTGAAGAACTGATATGGTGGGCAGTTGTTTTATTTGCAAAGGAGTACACATCTACTCCCTAGAAACACGCGCAGCATAAATGTTAAAAAGATCTTATCTAATAAGAAATGATGTGCATAAAGATAATTCTGCCTTGCACCTGTAGTCAGGTCTGCTAAATACTATTTTACAGTAGGGTAGTTGAGATCAGACTGCTTTTCACAACGTTTTATTGGCTTAGTGCAATCATTTCTTCATTCTTTCAGAGAGCTATTTTAAACATATTATTTTAGTAAATACTAGATTAAGTTCAATACAACAGTCCCCTTGCAGAAGAGGACAGACAAGCATAATGTCATGTGACAAAAACCCTCTCAGTATACCCACCCACCTCCTAAACCTCACACAAATCTCCCAATTCGTTCATGTTATGTTTTCAGGCAGTATTTTTCTGATATGTCAACAAAACCCAAAAACTTCAAAACAGAAGTTTCTTGACAGTTTCGTAAATCTAGTGCAAGAAAATTATTTATGACGTTACCTTTGTGTCCCAGTCTTTTATATCTATCAGAAGCTTTATGAAAAGGCACTGAAAATCTATCAAAGGAATTTGCTTTAACTGTTTCTCCAAGCTTATTTTAAATAGCAATAGAAGCAGCAGCAATATTTCTTGATCAGTATATCCACCTTGAATTACTGTTGTACAGAAACCTAGAAACTTTAAAAGAAATAAAAAGCATTAAAATTTGAAATTGGTTCAGTTTATTTTAAAGTATGATGAGAACTTAAGCTTTCCACTCTCACATTAAAACGTACCTCAAATGATATATTGTTCTTGCAGGGCTTGTGTATTAACACCTCCCCATCTCCCAGTAACTGCACTCTATTTTTTTTTTTTATACCTGCTGGAGGCTCATCTTCTGGACAATAGCAATATTCCCTGGACATGACAGGAGTAGGAAAGATCTTTCTCCACTGCAGAGATAATCCTCATCTAACTGAATGAAAGACTGACAGACTTTCTAAATACACAAGTAATACCAAAAATACAAATTAAGATATTTTTCCCCACCCAAGTATTATCACACATGGGTTACTTACAACATGGGATGTATGTGTAAATGAGAACATAAATTAATCAAGAGATGTGTATCTTGTCTCTAGTGGATATGCTCTGAATGCTTCCTCTTGAACCAAGTGAGTTTATAGTTAAAAATTTCTAAAGAAATTATGTTAGGAGGATTCAAATACTTCTACGAGGAACTCTGAAATCAGTTATGAAGTCAGTATTTTCACCATAAAACCTTTAAATCACAGAGAACTAGCCTGTGAAGTGTGACCAGCACTCAACCAGCCTATGGTCTCACAGGACACAGTGCATGGCTCTAACAGCTCACTTCCACAGTCACAGCTCCACCTGCCCTCCATGAGCCCCCACCTCATTCACCTTGAGCTGCACCTCACAGCTGCACTAACACACTGAAGCAGCACAACACATACCACCCAACATCAACTCCCCTTCCCATTCCCACTGCAACACAGAAAGTGATAGTTTCTTCTACAAGGGAGCAGAGACATTCAATAAAGTGTCACAGCTGAAAGAGGGAGGCAGCAGAATTGTGCAGTTGTGAGTGAAGCCAATGAAAGTCAGGGAGAAAGGAAACTCCTTTTTTGCAAAGCTTGCAAAAAGCCTGCAATAATCTCTGCTGAATGTGAAGCTGAAACCTCTGGATAGCAACCTACTCAAAAAACATGCCCTGGACTAGATTAAGACACCAAGGTTTTTGCTGAAAAAAAAAAAAAAGGCAACAAAAAACACCATCATCATCTCCCCTCCCACACTAAGTGGAGTTTTCTCACCTTAATCACATTAATTAAATTGTTTTCTGGTAGACTGGAGAAGGTTGGACTAGCAGATGTTAGGTCTCCTCTTGGCTGTTGCTGACTCACTGTTTCTTGTATCTGACTTCTAATAAAAGAGACACTAATCTGAGCAATAAATCAACAATTTAAAAGTCCACAAAGGCTTATTTACATCAAACTGGAGAAAAAACCACCCTGTATGTTTCAAAATGTCTTCAAATCAAAACAATCCTCAGTTACAGGGCACACACATCTATCTTAACTTGTAACCAATTTCTTACAATTCTGCCCAGCTCTTTAGGCAACAATTCTTGCAAACCTCCATTAGGAAGGTGCAGGACAAAGGACAATGCTCTGGTTTCCTGAATCCTTACCTGGTAGGCATTTTTAAAAGTTCTGGCTTATTTACTTTTATTAAGACCTGAGTTGAAAATTTAACGAGTATGGCTTGATGGAAGGGAAGGGAAATAAAGGAGAACCTTCTGATTCTACATTCTAAGCACAAGACTTGCTTCCACAGGATCTAAGCAATAAATATCAAAAGGAAAACACTTACAAAATATCACGCTCGTTAAAGTTGGGCTGAAGATGCTGCAACGGAAAGAGAGATCTAAACGCAACACCCATATTGACAAAAACAGCTGACACATCAGCTAGTGAAGGAATCCATGGTTTAGACTGTTCATCACTGATGGAAGCTACAAGTAAAAGACATGAAATGGATTAGTTTTAAATTTAGTTCTTAGCATTAGCTCCTTTTAAGGGAAACAAATAAGCTCAGCAGTCTGCATTAATTCTACCAGCTCTCATCTCAGAAAAGTCGGTGCATTGAACAATATTCTTATTTTCAGAACCATGAGGGGAAAAAAATTAGTCTATCACAGTATTTTATGCTAGAGAAACATCTTGCCTATGGAACAGGTGAATTACTTTAGAGTTCCACCCATTTTCTCTCACAGCTTGCTCTCATCAAGCGGCAGAATAAGCAAGGAGGCAAGATTTACTTTTAAGAGAATACTTCAGTTACTGTTCTGTGTAGGTACAGGTAAGAGGGTGTTATCATAGCGAGACTGGAAGTGGAGCTAAGTAAGATTTGAAAGCAGGCAAGGCTTATAGAACAGAAGTGCTAAACGCTTATTTGATAGAAATAAGAACCAATGTTTATTGCAAAAGGGCTGATTTGTATGATTACTTGCATCTGAAAGTCTGCAAAGTCTACAGAGATTATCCATAGGACACTGAACTAGCAAGGTAACATCAAACTAGATGAGTGTTTTCCAAACAATGACAGAAGTCACTAAAATTCTGAACTGGGTCAATTTCATGTCTTAGAGCTAAGTTTATGAGGAAAAAAAAAGACAAATATAATGGAACACAACAGTCAAGACACTGGAGGTTCAGATCTCAATGTTAAATTCAGTAAAAAAAGCAACAACAAAAGGGATGCATCCTTAGTTAGGCACTGGAACAGAATGTCTCAGAATAAAGACTTCACAGTTTGCCATTTTAAAGTGGTTAGACAACTTTCCAGGAGCAACTACAGCCTATTTGATCCTGCTCTGAGGTCAGAGATCTGCTGGGATCTCTCCCAGACTTAATTCTCTGAATGCTCATTGATCAGCTTGAATTGTTCATTCAGAATCCACTTTAAAGCCAGCAAAGCACAAAATAAAGGAGGTTACATTCCTCCTCATATCAGCTTACAGTCCTATTTCAAACAAGATTCAAAATACATGGCACAATTTGGACAGACCTGAGCAAGTGCTTCAAGAGAATTGCATTACTTTAACGATGTTAACTGGCCGGCTTAAACGAATTAGTGACTTTTGATGAATCTGAATAAAATGAAGACATGGAGAACATACAAAGGAACTTGTACTGGAGAAGTGTTTGAGAGCACAGATAAGGAAGGCAAAACACACAAGACAAGCAGCAGCGCGGACTGAAGCAGATTCTTGAAAGTGTTTACGTGCAGGTGTATGATTGTTTCCACTTTTGCCCTTTATCCGGAAAGTAAACTATGTAGTGCTACATACTGGGTATGACTACGTCAAAATCATCTTGTAGTCCTTAAGCTGCGAAATTAATGTCTGCATCTTCTAAAGCAAAGATGGAATGGAGAGTAAACTTTTGAGCAGACTGGGCTCCTCTTCAGGTCAATTATATTTGTGAAATAACAGAAGTCAATTTAAAAGGATTTGCACCGGATGCACTGCTTTGCAAATACATGCCAGGACCACATCCTGTGGTGCAGCTTGCACGCACTCAGCAAAGACCAACTCCTAGCATTTGTGCATTACATAAGTAACAGAAGAACCTAAATTCTTGCCAGAATCACAGAACGGAGCCAGGGCCTTTTACTTCCTCCCCAACACCCTTCTGTACTTAACAGAAGGGAAATGCCTTCATTCAGGTGGTCAGTTTTCCATCCTTCAAATACTCACCGTTTTTTAGTGTTATCTCCATCAGTCTGTCTAAAATCTGGGTGGAAACACAGTAGTCAGGATGAACAGACATCATCTGTGGAGAGAAAAGAAGCTATATGTCAAACACGAAGTTGCATGATGGCATCAATTTTCTTTTAATTGAAAATTAAACCAACTCTTTGGTAAAGAAAAATAAAATAAGAAACAGTAACAGAAAAAAAACCCAACAAAACCAAGGCCTCTAAAGCAAGATGCACCAAGGAGAACAGAATATTGTGAATATAGATTTATTTCAAGCAGTGCACAGATGCTATGAATACTTTAAAATTCAGTATTTGCAGTATCAGAATGCTGTAACCCATGTTGAATGTGTTGCTTCATAAGAAGGTACTGAGGGTTAAGAGAATGGAAAGTATCATGTATCCCTTTGGAACCCATTTGCATCTGTGATCAAAGTGAACTCCTTGATCAGGAGCAGGGACACCAGAGCTAACTGTTTAACTGACCTTTTCCAGTCATGGGCAAGTGGAATATATGCAACACTAAACTGACATAATGAATTCTTTGTCATAGAACTCTTAACTGCAAAAGCATGACTATGAAGTACAGTTCAGGTTTCCTGGAGCACTTCACTAGGCCAGCAAGAAACTCTTCTTTTTCTCCTCTAAGTGCTGGACAGTTTCCTGCTCTGTAAGTGAGCTGAATTGGTTCACACTTCCTCTTTATCAGAGGAACACCAGAGCTCATACAAGGAGTGGAAGGCAATTTTTTACTGGCTGGAAGGAAGAATATGGAGAAACAAAATGTTCCCCTTTCAGTAGGCTGCAATTTCACAAGGAGTTTAGCTTCCCTTTTTGGTTCAGGCATTGTTAGAATGTGGTAAATAATAACAGAATGGAGACTGGAGAGTGGCATTTTTGTGAGTAACAGAACAATGTACATTCCTGGAGATTTAGACATGGACATCTAGAAAGCAGACAAACACCACATTTCCTTTGAGAACGGCTCCAGGCTTTTTCCTGAGCCATAACGCAGCCTGACCTTTACCAAAAGAAAATTACCTGATAAGGCAGGTATCTCTGATGATTGTAGAAGATGATATATGTAGAAATAGTAGTTTTGCATACTGAAGCATGTACTTTTTTTGGTTTTTAGGGTGGAAGGAAGTAAGATTAACATTTGCTTCTGATTTGGCCCACACTATTATATCCTGAAATCTCTTCTCACCTAGCATGTGCTGTGTTCTTTTCAAATGAAGTAACATGTATGAAGAGGGACAGGGATGTGCAGCTTTGCAGACACTCAGAAAGCATGGAGAAAAGCTATCCCTAGTGTTTTCAGACTGGAGAACAAATCAGAACCCAGAAAGAAACATTTTTTTGATTTAAAAGTTGTCAACCTAATGCAACAGATTCACAAACTTATTCTGATTATTCCTGCTACAACTGGATTCCAAGAAGAATATTATACCTGGACAGAGTACAACTGCATAAATAGTACAGTCTTACCTGGAAAAGCCACTTTAGAATTGGAATGGGACACAAGATACAACTGTAAGCAGAACTTAGAAAACCATTAGTAGCTAAAGAAAGCTGCTGTGTTACACCAGAACTGTAAGACAAAGACGGGAGTGGGGAAAGAGGAGAAAAATCAATTAGTGGTTTAATTAGCACTTTCACAAAAGCCTAAGAACTTCCCCACCCCTCAGATGATCATCATCAACAGCAAACAAAAGATCTGAACACCCAAAACAGGTGTTATTATCCTCTTACCTACATGAAATGCTATAGTAATTAAACCATATTTGTGATTTAGAACAACTACCTTTTTTTCAGAATGCCATACTACGTAATTTGGAAACATTTGTATTATTAGAGAATAATAGTTTCAAACAAACACTGATTTACACTATTGTACTATGAATCATGCCTGTCTACACAGAGGGGTGGCTACGCTGAATGAGACCAGTGAATAAGATTTTTTTACTGTCCAATGACCTTTACCAACACTTTTAGAAGAAAAAAGAAAAAACTTTGGTTTAAATTTCTAAAATAATCTTTTAAATAAAGAGTCTGGAGGTAAACTAAAGCAATTAAGATCAAACGGTCTAATCTCACTGTGCAAATTTGTGTGGTGCAAAAAGCAGCTGTTGGATGAACGGAAAATATGTCATTTTTATTACTGAATTATTTTAGCTTTAGCCTTCTTTAGAAAGTCAGGTATGTCATAAGCAGCTGAATTAATCCGGTTTCCCACATACCCTTCTTTAGTATTCTCAGTATCTACTAAAACCAGTAGCTCTGTTAAGAGATCTGCGTCCTGACTTCTCCATCTACCCTCTACATGTCTGATCGAGCAAGTGGCTAGGAAGACATCCGTATGCCAACTGGACAGCCAGTATGTGCCAGCTGTGCCAATTGGGCAGAATGTATAAGCAATTAAATCGTAATTGCCTTCTGCAAGGGATGATTCATTTAATTCTCATTCCTCCAGTCACTGATTTACAAGATACTTTTGAAGCTTATATCCTTGAGATCTTCAAAACACAGTAGTAAAGAGGCCTGAAGCCAAAGGAGCATATCACAAACACCACTTCCTCAAGAGACGACGAGAAGCCACCCTCCTCCTCTTCACACCCACAACAGCACATACAGATGTATACAAAATCTTTTAAGATTAGATTAATTCTCTCAGTTTCACCGCTGAAAGTTTGGAATAAAATGCCAACTGAAATAACCAGAATTTTTCCAGATTCATACTTGTGGTATTCAGCAAGAATTTGTCCAGCTATTTACAGCCTGACAGCCTCATAAATATAGAATACAAATCCCTATGAGTTACAGAACAGTTGTGTATACACGCAGAGACACACTCTAGCTCACTGACTGAATCTAACAGATGTCAGAAATCGTGACTTTCTGCAATCCTCATTAAGTGGAGCCCTAAGTCCCAGGCTCATTCAGGACAGGAACATGTAAAAGTCTTTCAGCAGACACAGTGCAACATTGGCAGGTCATAAATCAGTTCGCTACAAAGGTCCTCTTTCTGTCTTAGGATAGTCAAGCTTTTGTTCATTATAACATTTCACTTCTGCATTTATCTTCCACAAACTGGTCAGACTATCAATGACAGTCCAACACAGTAGAAATATGGAAGAGGCCAGAACATCTATTTTTTTTTTTTTTATGTCTCATGTAAGATGTTCTTTTCAAGAACTTCAGAGGAAGAAAGAAGTTTCAACTAACAGTTCACTGTTCTGTAAAGCTAACCTGGAAAGGAGAATTCCAGGGAA